GGGGGGCTGGCTTTTTTTTTTATTTTTTTTATTGACTCTTCTGACGGAAATTTCCGTCTGAATATTCCTCTTCCGACGGAAAATTCCGTTGGAATATACCTCTTCCGACTGAAAATTCCATCGGAATATACCTCTTCCGACGGAAAATTCCGTCGGAAACCTATCCAACTTCGACGGAAATTTCCGTCTTAAAAATTGTGACGGAATTTCAATTAAAGTCAAAAATAGCGCCGACAGAATTAAATCCGTCGGAAATTCCGTCGAAAACAAGCCTTCCGACGGAATTTCCATCGGAAAAGGTCGAATTTCCTACAAAGGGTATTGCGACAGACTAATTCCGACGGAATTCCGTCGGAAGGCTTGTTTCCGACGGAATTTTTCCGTCGGAATCCAGCTGTTTTCTTGTAGTGGATGTACATCATCAGGGCCAGCAGGACCGAGACGAGAAATACCAGGCGTACGTTGCTACACCGCACCCTACACCTGACAAGGCGTACGGTTGCAGGTTTGTATCAGTTGTCATTATTTTAGACCTATGGTGGTTTTATTTTGCTAGTTGACAAACTAAAACATTTTTTGGTAATAGGTGGGTGGTCCCAGATTGACACATGCGCATGTGGAGAGGGGTCTTCCGTACTACCGGGACGCCCTTGACCGACTCACCGAGGATCGGGTGGTAACTTAAAAGGAATTTGTAAACATTTATTTAATTTGTATACTGTCTGTGCACTAACCTATTTACGGTGTTACTTTTGATGTGTTATTGCAGATGACATGGGATGTAACACCCTAGAAATTTATTTCCTTTAAAATATCTGTTTTGCCCTTTTTAAAATATGAAATAGGAAAATTTAAGACATTACCGCCACCGTGAAAACGGCTAAGGCAAATATCAAAGACACACAGCAGAAGACTATCTTTTAAAAACTCATATGAAATAAAGTTTAATAAAATCAACTCAAATTTTAAAACCAACTTACACTTAAACAATAACTTGGAACCATAAAAGGCCCCTTTAAAACCAAAGTAAATATAAACATTAACTAATGTTAGTGTCAACAATTACATAAATAATTCAGTACAATGAATAACAAACAAAGAAACATGTAACCCTCTTCGCTCAAACCCATCATGCTTGATATGCTTCTTCACCTGAAAGCTTTTCTCTACTTGTCCCTACTACTCGCCATTAGAAATGGGTCGTCGTAGGGCCAAGGTAAAGACAAGGCCAAACAAACATGCAAACACACAATCAGCAATGCTGAGTACATAAGCGTAATAAAACACACTAACATGCTTTTATCCTATCAACACACAACTTACCTTGTTGCACCTGATCACAAGCATACAAGACACCCAACACCTAACTAGACAAATACCAATGTCCATTTAATTTTGATTACGCATCGGACGGGTTTCCAACCAACTACCTGCCTCAATAAATTGAGGTAAACTACACCGGGAGCTAACCGGGTAGGCAAATAAATGTCACATGAAGTGACTGGTCATCCTGCGTATAACAAATAATGAAAAGGAAAATACAGCGTCTTGTACTCCCAATAGAATTTATGGTCAAATATAAAGTCGCATAACTCCCCGCATATGTTCATACTCAAGGTATATACGTTCCAAGAGTTTTGGTGCGTAATCTCTTTCACTTTATGTTATTTACATATTATTAAACTTGGTGATGATGACTCTCAAAACATACACAATCAAACATTATAATTCATTTAAGCAATCAAATATTCCAAATTTAATTCTTGAATAATTAGTGACCACATAAATTTAATGTTGAACCCTTTTTAAACTACCTCGGTGTTAAATAATACCTTAAGTGCATAAAGCACCGCAAATCCTATCCCTCGGTGTTAGAAACACCTTAAGTGCATAATAAGCACCGCAATAAACACCTTAAGTGCATAATAAGCACCGCAATAAAATTTATTCATGTGTACTAAGTGTACTAAGACACTTAAATAGCTCATTCCTCATACTTATAGCTTCAATAAAAATTATATGAACCATAATAAAATTTCCTTTTCATATTTCAAACCAAATTAAACATTTCGTTTAATTAAACATGCTCTCTAACATGACAATAATAAAAGTGCAGTTCATATCCAACATGCCAATATAATTAATTCCAATCACCAATTCACCATAAACAATTCATACATCACAAATCATTCACCAACATCAATCCAATCAACACATTCCATCCAACACCTATCATGATACTACTTGGAATGAATTAAACAAAACCTAGCATGCTTCTATATACTTATACATTACCAAGTACACGAACGTACCTTGATATGATCTCAAAATTGCCACGACTAAATAAAATCATTCACTTAAAAGTATCCTACAAACCAAAATTACAAAGAAGTATTAATACCTCTTTCACATAAATTTCGAGCAATATATACTCTCTTTAAATCACTCATAAACCCTCTAAAATAATATGAAATTTAATTTAAACCCCTTACTTTTATTCCCAATTAATGGGTAATTAAAAATCTTTTCAAGAACCTTAATTATAGCTTATTTATAAAAAAATCCAGCATTATTAAAACTTATAAAATTGCTGTAATTTAGTTTAAAAACATTAATTACAATAGTTTTAATCAACCACAATCAAATTCCATCAATAAACATTAATTTAGAAACCTAGGGTTTTCAATTTGGAGCTTTTTGATTAAAAACTAAATTTGAAAATTATATTAGAACATTAAACCTTCGTTAAAAATCAAAAATTGTCCGAAAACCATATTTAGAGGCTGAATTTGGCCACGAGTTTGGTAGTGAGTTTTGATTAAAACGTTGTTTACACACAAAAAACACTATTTTTTTTTTGTAAAAATCGGACGAGTTAGAATCTTAATGTGATTAAAACGTGATTAAAAATAAAGGGGAAGAGGAAAAATTAAAGAGAAAAGGAAATAAGAGGAGAGAGAGAATTTACCTTTGGGTGCACTCCACCCTAGGCATATGATGGGTATTTATACCCTCTCTCATAACCTCTTACTTACTACCCTTAATAATCCCTTTCCTACTCAAACTAGATCCTAATTAAACTAGGATTTTGACTTTCTTTAACACTTTGACTTTTAAAAATTATATTTTTATAAAATAACATGCCCCAATATTTTTAAATCATATGAAAAAATTATTTTCAAGATTATTAAATAATTAAAAACACACTTTTAATACAAATCATTCTTTTTAAATTAATGAAAACCCTAAATAATTCATTTCAAATTATTTAAATACTTTTAAGAAAATACTTATTTAAATTAAAATACATATAAAAATACGGGGTATTACATGGGATCCATATGTAGCTGACGTAGTTGATGTCATGCCTACACGTCTGCTAGATCATCGGGCAGAGTGGCGTGTCAGGACCCCCATGATCTGTTTCGAGGTTGTGGAAAGTCTCCTACCCGATCGAGTCATGCGACAGTTTGGACTACGCCAGCCCATCCCCTAGCAGTAGTGTGACACTAGTATCTGCTTGCACGGATTTGACCGTCGGGGAAATGGGGAGATAAACTGGTTAGTGGAGCATGGGTGTTACATTGACCTATGACAGCAACGGTTGGAGTTCAATTCGTCGTCGCCGGTGATCCGATCCAAGGCGTTATGGATCCTCACGATCCATACATGGTCTGGTACAGGCGGATTACACGGCGTTTCATCAACCCCATCTACACGCCACCATCCACACATTATCATCCAACCTTTGACGTCATTAGCAGATACGTGAATATACTTATTTTCATCAATTTTTAAATTTCTATATCATACAACTTATTGATCGATGATTTCTGCAGGCGGCGGATATGGTGGCGATGGTTGATGCACTATCAGGCGCCCTTGCAGACAAACCCACCAGAGCCTAGGTCGAGCGGGTGCGAGATATGGGTGTCTCGTCCACCCGCGGGACATTCATGGAGGCCACTCCGTCCATTCACAGTTCGAGGTCGCCTAGATTAGCGGTGGAGGAGATCCTACGTCACCTAGAGACGCAGAGGATTACCTCATCCACAATTCTGCGTCGACACCTACTCAGGAGGACCCGTCGTCCAGCCAGCAGACCCCGCCACCGCCCTGAGACCCATTTACCACCATTACTCATTACAGGAGACGTCGTGTTAGATAGAGGAACGACAAACAGGATAGAGAACCGTTACCTCGAATAAATGAGTCTGGATAGTATTATTTGATTTATTTGCTGTAATCGGATTTTCTAGTATGTTGTATATAACACTTACATTATTAATATAATAAATGTTTTTTGAATGAATCTGTGTGTGGTTTGAAGTTTAATTTCCTTATTTGTCCAAATCGGACTTATGTCAGTCAAAATAGATCATTCTAGGCCGATATATAGCAAACACAAAACATTTGGGCTCCATAATGTGAAACAGGGTAGAAGCGATGGCCGGTCATGGTAAATGTGGCGGTTCATGGTGGTTGTAGTGCTGTTGGGGGTGGTTTGAGTGGTTTGAAGTGGCTTAGGGTGGGCAAAAGTGGTGGGAGGTGGTGGTCAATGGTAAGGAGGTTGTCGGGGATCGTGAATGACGGTGGGGATGGTGGTTGAGGTTGGGGTTGGTGGTGGGGGTGGTGTTGGAGGGTGATGGTGGAGGGTGGTGGTTGAATGAGTGGTGGAGGGTGGTGGCTGAATGAGGGTTGGGGGCTAAATTTGGAGTGAGGAGGCTGCTGACTATTGGCTGCTGCAGCCTAGCAGGAAAAGTTTTATGTACAAAAAAAAATGTACATAAAACACTGTCCTAGGCAGCGTTTTATGTTCTAAATTAAACGCTGCCTCAGTCAACGTTTTAGTGTATTTGATTTTTTTTTTTATTATTATTTAACATTTTAAATATCAGAAATTACAAAAAAAATTTTAAAAAAAACAAGTCAACATGTAAATAGTTTTTAAAAACATTAGGGTTTAAAACGCTGTCCGAGACAGCGTTTTACCCTGAAACCTTAGTTTGGTAAATAGTTTGACCACGTGTCTACTTTACAAAATTGTTTGTCAATTAAACTCACTTTGGAAAAAAAATCCAAGTGATTAACCATTGTGTAATCGAAATCACTTCCACCAAGGTGAGTATCCCCTGTTACTCCTTTCACTTCAAATACATCTTTTTCAATTCTGACCAGATACATCAAAAGTACCCCCACCAAGATCGAAAACAATCACATTCCTCCCAGCTTCTCTCAAGTTTTTATTCAGAAAAAAAAAAAGCGGATAGAACCTACTGAACTTATTCTTACCCATTTCCACAACTACACACTTTCTATCTCTCAAAATCTGTAAAAATGGAAGGGAAAGGAGGAGAATGGCCGGCAATAGGAATCGATCTCGGAACAACCTACTCATGTGTGGGAGTTTGGCAGCACGACCATGTTGAGATAATCACTAACAATCAAGGAAACAGAACAACGCCATCTTGGGTTGCATTCACCCTAAATGAGCGCCTTGTCGGTGAAGCTGCTAAGAATCAGGCTGGTCTTAATCCTACTAATACTATTCACGGTACTCTCTTTTCTTCTTCTACTCAAATTTAACTCAATTAGAATTTATTATTTTTTTTTTTTTTTACTTTTACCATCTTTTATTTTTATTTTTATTTTTGCCTTTAATTTTTTAAACTTGTTATGTTTCACAGTTTCACTACTTAACCTGTTTTCCGGCCAAAGTTCCGGTAGTACTTCAAATTGTTTCTGGAACTAAATTCTTTTCGACGAAATAAAAAATTAATTTAGGGCAAATGGTTTATTAGTGATTTCGTTTCTATTGGTGATGAATATCAGCATTCCAAATTATAAAAAATGCTGTACTTTTAATTTGTAGTTATGTAATTAGGGTTCGTGGAAAATTTGGGAATTTTATAATTATTAAGATTGAGCCCAAATGAAACAATAAACTTGATATTGCACTCATTTATCCACACAATTCATATTAGTTATAGGTGAAAATGACTAATTTTTATTCTACTCAAAACCTAAAATTAGGGTTCTTATGCAAATTGGGGATTTCTTCAAATTGATTATTTTTCAAAATATGACTTGGTAATTAATGCAGATAGTGCTCAATTAAGAGCTATTGGGCTAAAAATCAAGCAAATAATGGGGGAAAGGGGGTAAAGCTCGGCTCTCATTACATATTTTGTTGGAATGATTTTGAGTTTTGGGTTGAATTTCACCATATGAATGATATGAGGGTTCATGGGTTTATTGATTGAAAATCCAGCAAAAGAGGGAAAACAGAAAATCGGTGAGTGTGGATCCCACTTGGCCGGATTAGATGCCGGAAACGGATTAAGGTAATGAAATTTAATGAGTAAATAAACTTAAGGTATTAAAAACCAAAGGAGGAAAAAAAAAAGTATAAGGTGGTAAAATCCAAAGAGTGATATTAAAAAGGTTGCAAGCTATGTTACTCAGACTCGGGTACCCATGTCCGAGATGGGTACGTGTCCAAGTGTTCGACTTGGCTATTTTATGAAAAATTTCCATGATTTTGAACTAAAATGAAGTGCCTAAGTGTTCGAGTACTCGAGGTTGCAAGTCTATTTAAAAAGAAATGGTTGTAAAAGTCACTTATTATGGTATATTTACATTATAAGTTGATACATTCTTCCATAAAAAAAAACTTGATACATTTTTAAAAAACTACGACAATTTCATGAAATGTCATTGAGTACTTAAAAATTCACTAAATGCCATCGCGTTTTTCAAAATTCACCAAATGCCACTGAGGTTTAGTACAATATGACCATATGCCATTTTCATTAGTTGACCGTCAGTGTCCATTAGTTGACCCCATCACTTGCCACGTGTCACCTTCTAATTGGTCCGTTTTTAAAAAATAAAAGAAGGATTTAAAAAAAAAAACCCCATTCACCTCCCCTTTTCGATTTTCAGCCACCCCACCCAAAACCCCTTTCCCCACCCCTTTCGTTTCCGGCCACCCACCCACACAACCCTCACCCTCAAAATCCGGCAGCACCCTTTCGCTCCCTTTCCTCGCACCCCTTTCCCCTCCCTTTCCTCGCACCCCCTTCGATCCTCAAAACGTATCGATTTGATCCCCTCTCCTTCCCCACCCCAAAACGCAACCCTCAACCCCACACCCGAAAATCCTAAACCACCCAAACTCTAATGAAATTGCGGCTGCCATTGAAGGTGCGGCAATGATTCGAACCAAGGGGGAAGTCGGGTTTTGAGAGTCGAAGGGGGTGCGAGGAAAGGGAGGGGAAGGGGGCTGCCGGATTTTGAGGGTGTGGGTTGTATGGGTGTGTGGCCGGAAACGAAAAGGGGAGGGGAAGGGGGTTTTGGGTGTGGTGGCCGGAAATCGAAAAGGGGAGGGAAATGGGGTTTTGGGTGGGATGGCCGAAATCGAAAAGGGGAGGGGAATGGGGTTTTGGGTGGGTGCTGGCCGTCGACAAGCTACCGGTGCTGGCCTCGGCGGCACGAGGATCTGGCAGTGGGGTGGCCGGAATGGGCCGGTGGCAGCAAGTTTTGTTTTTTTTTCTTAATTTTTAATTTTTTGTTATTTTTTAATTTTTTTTAAAAACGGACTAATTAGAAGGTGACACGTGGCAAGTGATGGGGTCAACTAATGGACACTGACAGTCAACTAACGAAAATGGCATATGGTGATATTGTACTAAACTTCAGTGACATTTGGTGAATTTTGAAAAACGCGATGACATTTGGTGAATTTTTTAAGTATTCAATGGCATTTTATGAAATTGCCGTAAAAACTACCTCTTGGGGTTTTGATGACTATTGATAATTTCCCATCTTATGCTATTAGATGCTAATTGTCCGGAAGATCTACCATTTAATGATCTCACCATGCTAGCAATGCAGCCCTCTCACATTATCTACAAGACTTCAAAAACTACTTTTATTAATTTATGCTTTGAACTTTTTTTTTTTGAATAGAAAAAGAGTATTTTTGGCATTTGTGTCATAATCATACACAAGGGACCTCTTTTGTTCTTACGGAAAAATACTTAATTAGTCTAAGAAAATTAATTTTTTCGACTGTCTTCTAGTCATTTATTTATTGAATGATTTTGATGAAGTAATTTTTGTAAGATCAAGTTAAACTTCACTCTCTTCTTTTTAATCTACAACAGATGTAAAGAGGCTAATTGGTCGGCGGTTTACAGAGGAAACAGTTCAGAGTGACATTAAACTCTGGCCTTTCAAAGTTATTTCCTTCCCACATAAAGACAATAAACCTTTGATTGTGGTCACATATAAGGGTGAAGAGAAGCATTTTACTGCTGAAGAGATATCAGCCATGATCCTTATGAAGATGAAAGAAACTGCTGAGGTTTATCTTGGTACAGAAGTAAAGAATGCTGTCATCACTGTACCTGCCTACTTTAATGATCTGCAACGACAGGCGACTAAAGATGCTGGCACTATTGCAGGGATCAATGTCATGCGTATCATCAACGAGCCAACTGCTGCTGCCATTGCGTACGGTCTTGAGAAGAAGGCTGTTGAAATTAAAGAGGCTGCAAAAAATGTTCTTGTTTTTGATCTTGGTGGTGGGACTTTTGATGTGTCTGTGGTACATCTTGCTAAGGATTCGTTTGAGGTTAAAGCCATAAGCGGGAACACACACTTAGGAGGAGGGGATTTTGATAGCAGATTGGTGAGCCATTTCGTGGCTGAGTTCAAGAGGAAGCACAATCAAGATATAAGTGGCAACCCAAGAGCTCTTGCAAGGTTGAGAGCTGCCTGTGAAAGGGCAAAGAGGACACTTTCGTCAACTACTGAGACTAGTATTCAATTAGATTGCCTTTACGAGACTATTGATTTTTCTTCAACCATTTCCCGTGCTCGATTTGAGAAGTTGAACATGGATTTGTTCAGTGATGTTATGGACCCGGTAGAGAAGTGTTTGAAAGATGCCAAGATGGAAAAAGAGGATATTCATGAGGTTGTTTGTGTGGGTGGATCTACTAGGATCCCTAAAGTCCAACGGCTCTTAAAGGATTTATTTCATGGAAAAGAGCTCTGCAATAACCTTAATCCAGATGAGGCTGTTGCCTGTGGGGCTGCCATTCATGCTGCAATATTGAGTGGCTTTCGGCATAAAGGATGCTTTTTGCTTGTAGATATCACTCCCTTATCACTTGGCACTGATATTTATAATGGTGACATGAGTGTCATAATTCCAAGAAACACCCCGATCCCAACAAAGATGGTGCAAAACTACATTACTGCACGGGACAACCAGACTATTATGGGAATTTCAGTGTATGAAGGAGAGAGACTCATTGCCAAGGACAACAATTTCTTGGGTAAATTTGATTTATGTGGCATCAACCCAGCCCCGAAAGGTGTTGCTGCAGTAATTGTGTCCTTCGAAATTGATGAAAATGGTATCTTGATCGTGACAGCAAAAGAAAAAGGCACTACAAACAAAAATCAAATGACCATCACTAACCACCGCGGGAACTTATCAAGCAAGGAGATTGATTGGATGGTGAAAGAGGCCAAGAAATATAGGGCAGAGGATATGGAGAAACAGAAGGTGGCCACAGCAAAGTTCAACTTGGAGATATATGTCAGCAAAATGTGGGATATCATGAGTGGTCAATTCTGGAAAAAGATTGTGATGCAGGACAAAAATATGATTGAAGATGCAATTGAGCAAACAATTCAATGGCTGGATTGGAATCATGATGCTACTGATACTTGTAAGTTCGAGGACAAGTTGACTGGGCTCAAGAACATTTGTGACCCTGTCATTGCTAAGATGCACCAGAACGACTCCCATCTGAGAGGTGATCCCCAAAATCGAGCCAATCTAGACAAAACAAATTAGTCATACTCTGTAGTTGCTGGCTGCTACTTTTGCTTAATTGGTTAGCTCTATGGTTCTTGAATTCTCATGTATCTATGCGCCATTGCCTGGAATCATTATCTGAAGCTACAAGTACTAATTTGATGGCTCTAAATTTATTTTTGTCTTAACTCTCGTTTACAATTATGCTTCCAAGGGAGTCATTGAATCAAGGTTTACTAAAGCATCTTTGGTTTCCTAGTTAAACATGTATTCAGCAATGGCGCATAGATTATGGTCTATGGATTTGGAAAAAATAAAGTGTTGTTTGTTTAATCACTTTTTGACTATCGTAATTTCAGTGATCTTGATTTTGATGTTTATATTGCTTTGAGGCTCAAGTTGGTAGGTTTAATTCTGCAATGTATGTCTCTAGATCATTTGTAGTTATGCTCCCAAATGAGAAATCATTAATTGAAACTTATTTTCCCTGCATTTTCTTTGGTATTGAGTACTGACTTTGTGTGTTAGCCCCATGCCCTCCTAAATTCTGTATGTGAATGTCACACACAGTCATTATTCATTTATTCTTTAGTAATGTCTGATTCGCCATTGGCAAGTACGCCATGAAAGGTGTTCGAAAGCAGATGATTATTGTTTGTATTTTGAGTGTTGCTCATGCAGCCAGCCTTTGTAGATACTATTGTAGCTGTAAGCTGGCATAACAAAAAATTTAGCCTAGCTTTCCATCTAAGGTTAACATAAAGAACTTGTGTAGAGTCACTAGTTAGTTATTGTAATGATAGTAGATCATTTCAAACTATGATTTGGAATGGCTACTCTTAATGGTGGTAAAAAGGAAGATAACGGTGGTTGTGATGGTGGTAGTGGTGGTGGTGGAGTGGTTTCACATTTGGAATCGCTGAGTGTCTGAATATAGTGGCAGAAGTAAGGTCAGCAGTGAAGGGAGAGGAGAGAGAAGAGCGCCATTGTCAAGCTAGCTTCCTTCATTTAACAAAGTTTGGACCGGAATTTGTGATTTGGCAATATCATCCTACTAATTTTATAAAACCGATCAGTAATATATGAATACAAAACCGAAATTTGCTAGCATAGACCACTTGTATTTTCTCATTTATTTCATTCAAGTCAAATTCTGCCAAGGTTACAAAAAAAAAAAAAAAAAAAAAAAAAAAAAAAAAAAAAAAAACTTTGCTCCAATTTTTTAATTTTGTTTTTTTTTTTTTTTTCTTTTCTTTCCCAATTTCTGACGCTAAAACTCGAACACAAATAGCAAATTGTACATGATGGGAAGCGAAGTAGAAGGAGAAGGAAATTGGCAGGCAATAAGAATTGATCTCGGAACAACGTACTCATGTGTGGGAGTTTGCCAGCACGATCATGTTGAGATAATAACTAACAATCAGGGTAACCAAACTACGCCTTCTTGGGCTGCATTCACTCAAAATGAGCGCCTCATTGGTGAAGCTGCCAAGAATCAGGCTAGTGTAAACTCTACCAATACTATATTTGGTACTCTTTCTCTTCTAAACATGATTATCTTCAATATTATTACAACTTCAATTACAATTTACTCGTACTGTTTGTCTGTTTACATTCTAACCTTTTGGTAAACTAAATAACTACTTAGCTTGTACATCTTAGATCTATTTGAATAGACTTAAGTTAACTTGTTGGCAATTGTCATTACTTACCTTGTATGTTCTTTTAAACCTCAACAAAAATATTTAAGTAATAAATCATTTTTAATCATTAGAAGTAAATGTAGATTTTAAAACTTTCATCAGCCTTTGAGACATAACTAAAGATAAGTTTGAATTAATAAGTAAAATCATTCTCTTTGTTTTAATTGATATAAATAAGTATAAGCAATTTCTAAGTACAGTACAAACAATTCAGATTAGGTAAAAGGAAAATAAAACAAGGCTAATGTTAAAAAAAGAAGAAAGAATTTCAGACATATTGTGAGTAGGAAACAAGAAACTACTTGAAATGTATTCTAAAAAGTTTAAAACAGGTTATACTATTTCCCTTTCTTGTTACAAATTTTATTGAAAGTTAGAAGGATGCAAATGGAATTTGGAATGCATTAGATACCAATCTAAGAGTTTTAAAACCAATGGAAAAACTTGTATTAAAATTTGTTTACTATACCATCAAACAGATCAAACTGATCAATTTTACTTGAGGAAAAGTGTACTAAACAAACTCCTAGAGTAGAAAATGAGTAGTTTAGAAGGAGTGTGAGAAATGATGAGTAATGACTCGTCCACATTAAATTAAACTAATCATTCTTCATGATTATTCCATGTTTACAATGTGCCGCCTTTAATTTAAGTACAAAGTGTTGAGAGGATTCTAGTCAAAGTTACACAATTGTTCAGTGATCCTAGATTAAGTACTGTTTTCTGTAATTACTCTTTGGAATTATTAGAATATTCAGCTTCTCACACCATCATTTACAGTTTCCATCCCTTTATTTGACATCATGTTTCTTGAACTTCACATTCTGAATTCTCATCATTTATCTATGACAGATGCAAAGAGGCTGATTGGTAGGAGTTTTACAGATGAAACGGTACAAAGTGACATCAAACTCTGGCCTTTAAAGGTTCTTTCCTGCCCTTATAAAGACAATAAGCCTATGATTGTGGTCAAATATAAGGGTGAAGAGAGACATTTTACTGCCGAAGAGATATCTTCCTTGATCCTCATGAAGCTAAAAGATACTGCAGAAGCCTACCTCGGCGCAGAAGTAAAGAATGCTGTAATAACTGTGCCTGCCTATTTTAATGATTCACAGCGCCAGGCAACTAAAGACGCTGGAACAATATCTGGAATTAATGTCTTGAGTATCATCAACGAGCCAACTGCTGCTGCCATTGCTTATTATCTTGAGAAGAAGGCTGTTCATTGCAAAGGGGCTATGAGAAATGTGCTAGTTTTTCGATCTTGGTGGAGGGACTTTTGATGTATCTTTGGTAACTCTCGGGAAAGATTTATTCGAAGTTAAGACTATAAGTGGGAACTCACACTTGGGTGGAGGGGATTTTGACAACAGATTGGTGAACTATTTTGTGGCCGAGGTTTCAGAGGAAGTCCAATCAGGGCATAACTAAAAATCCAAGAGCCCTTACAAGGTTGAGATTTGCCTGTGAGAGGGCAAAGAGCACACTTTCATCCTCCTTTGAGGCAGTTATACAAATAGATTGCCTTAATGAGAGTATTGATTTCTCTTCATCCATCTCCCGTGCCCAATTTGAGAAGTTGAACATGGATTTGTTCAGGGAATGTATGGACTTAATCGAAAAGTGTTTGCAGGATGCCAAGATGGAAAAGAAGGCTATTCATGATGTCGTTCTTGTGGGTGGGTCAACTAGGATACCTAGGTACAACAGCTAATTAAAGAATTTTTTGATGGAAAGGAGCTTTGTAAAAGCCTTAATCCAGAGGAGGCAGTTGCCTCTGGGGCTTCCATACATGCTGCAATCGTTAGTGGTGTAATACTACATAGCCAACGCACTTTGCTTGTGGATGTCACACCAATATCTCTTGGCGTTGAACTGTTTTGTGGTGACATGAGTGTTGTAATTCCAAGGAACACCCCAATTCCAACAAGGATGGAGACGACTTATGTGACTGTTAAAAAACAATCAAACCAGGGTGCCAGTTTCTGTTTACGAGGGGGAGAGACTCATTGCAGAGAAAAACTATTGTTTGGGTAAATTTGATGTTCGAGGCATTTGCCCATCTTCAAAAGGTGCTGTAAAGATACTCATGTCGTTTGAAATCGATGCAAATGGCATTTTGACTGTGACAGGAGAAGAAAAAGGTACTGTAAACAAGAATTATATTACCATCACCAACCATAGTGGTAGGCTATCAAGCGCGGAGATTGATAGGATGGAGGAGGCGGCCAAGAAGTACCGGGCAGAAGATGAGGAGCAGAAGAAGGTGGCCAGAGAGAAGTTTAACTTAGAAAATTTTATCAACAACATGTGGGATATGGTGAGCGGGAGCGAAATTGTGATGCAGGACAGGACAATGAAAGATATGATCGAACAGACGAGTAAATGGATGGATTGGAATTGCAATCTTTGCGAGGCTTCTAAGTTTGAGGAGAAGCTAAATGAGCTCAAGAACATTTGTGATCCTGTCATTGCCGAGATAAACCAGAATAGTCCTAACCCAATCTAGACATTGGGATATTCTACTGATGTTCTAATAGCTAGTTGACTCTTACAAGCCTTTCTTTCTATCAAATCCATTCAGTTTGTTTTCATTTTTTTATTTTTATTTAATTTATAATTTTTGTAAGGAATAGGTAGGTTAAACAATTAATGCATTGACAACTTAAGCAAATAGATATTCTACTCTGTCATGAATTCATGATCATGACTAATTAAGGAAAGATTATATATATGTGGGAGTATTTAGCCTGATATAAAGAGTCCCCTATGAAAAAAAAAAAAAAAAAAAAAGAGTTTAAGATTCAATAAATAGTTCTTTCAAAAAAAAAAAAAAAAGAATCAATAAATAGTCAACACAAATTGTTTCCTCTACTAGAATTCCCGACGATTTTTTTCAAATTTCCGACGCCAAAAAGTAGATTGAACACTGAAGATGGGATGCAAAGGCGATGGCGATGGTGATGACAAATAAAATTGGCCAGCAATAGGAATCGATCTAGGAACCCACTTACTCTTGTGTTGGAGTTGGCAGAATAATCGTGTTGAAATCATTATCAATGAACAAGGAAACAGAGCGACGCCTTCTTGTGTCGCTTTTACTCAAACTCAACGCCTTATTGGCGACGCTTCTGTCAACCAGGCTACCACTAATCCTACTAATACCATCTTTGGTACTTTTTCTCCATCCTCCAAGTTTCTTTCTTTCTTTCATACTTTGTATTTTTTAATTTACTGCTGATTAAGAGTTTAAACTAATCATACTGATTAAAGTTGGTTGTGTCAAAAAAAAAAAGTTGGTTGTAGTTAGTTAAGTAGAGAATTTTTTTCCACAATAATAGAATTTTTGCTAGAGTAATTAGTTAATTCTGTGTTTTTGTGAACATGATAATTTACTCTGTAGTTGATTTAATTGAATTTCAATTAATGGAACATAATGTTACTACATTTTTTTTTTTTTTTGAGGGGACATAATGTTACTACATAGGTGTTCTTTTGAGAATAATTAAATCCAAGATGAAGCTGGTACTCTCAAAGTCAATTTTCATTCATGTAATTATTGGTGTTAATCA